TCCTACACACAAATATTCCTATTTCTTGCCAAAAAAACTAACATATTGACATTTTCTGGATTCAATCTTGTTCTTTTGCAATGTACGTTCCGATGCCGAACTGGAAGCCTGGACACAGAGGTATTTCTTGGCAAGTTTAGACAACGTAGGAAGGAAAACACAATGATCTTTCCACCATTCCAGAAGGTCACTTTCAGAGTCTAGCAACGACAAAAACAGATAATGGTTCAACTCTTTTTCTATCGTATTTTCGGTACTAGTATTTGGTTGTTTACCAGAAGAAACTCTGTTTTTGAAAAACTTCCCTAGTTTCATGACTTTTGGATGGGGTGGTAAAAAGGAATTCTCTTCTTTATCATTCTCCATCTCTGGTTCATTAACAGTAGGCCTATCATGAAACTGTTCAGCTTCTTCATGGATATATCTTAAAACTTGGGACTCTTCCTCTAAATTCAAATATCTAGCTTTGAACCTTGGATCCAAATACGAAGACATCATTAAAATTTTTCGACAGTTTTCTTCTTTATATTTATTGTTCATGTACTGTAAGATTTTATTTTTAATGTCAATACTTAAGGTAGGTTCTGCTATTTCTTCATTTTCTGTTGTGATCGGGGCAAGTATCTCTTTATTTAATACATCCATCATTGGAAGAACTGACGAAATGCTTACATACTTTTCACCACTCAAAGCATCAGTGAGTTCAGCTAAGGGCTTTAATGTTTTATTCATGACCTCCAATATTTCAAGGTCTTGCCATTTGGGGACCAGGAACGAGCTTTTACGATCATTCATTAATACAGCTCTAACTGCTTTTTTCTGCTCTAGAAATCTCCCCACCATTTCCTGAAAAGAGCCCCATCTCGTGTCACAATCTGTAATAAGCGAGTGTACTGGAAGACCCATTTCACCTTGTCGTTTTGTTAGTTCACGTCTTTTCTTCCAACTATATGAAAAAGAGGACACAATCTTCTTGCATACTGCTCTAGCGCGAACAATTCTATCGTCATTTAAGGCATGGTTAATAGCAAGGTGCAGTCGATGTCCAAAACACTGGACTCTTGGCCATCCGTTTAATGCACACGCTTTTACCACATTAGCTCCATTATCTGTTGTTATACAGGTCTGCTTCTTCTCATCTAGATTCCAGGACTGGAGTGTATCTTTCAACCCTTCACTTATGTTTTCACCTGTATGATCTTGCGGAAAGAATAATGTATGGAGGCAAATTGTTTGTAACTCCCAGTCATCATTGATGAAGTGAACAGTGTAACTATAATAAGGTTCCATAGATCGGGAAGACCATATGTCAGTTGTGGCTGAGAAATAATCAGTATGTGACAGTAGGCTTGAAACTTGGCGGTGTACTTTATTGTAAAGTTCCGGAATAGCCACCGTTGAAAAGAATTTTCTGCTTGGTAAGGTATACCTGGGCTCAAGCGTTTTCAGTAGGGAAATAAACCCCCCTTTCTCCACTGTGTAAATTGGAACCATTTCTGATGTTAGGTATTTGGTTACCGCCTCTGTTATGTTTATCCACCTTTTTGTAGTCTTTTCCAAAGGAAAACAATCAGTGGCTGGTCTAGTTGACAAAGATTTTGATGAATTTGTTGCAGCACGAGTCGCACGACATTTGTTGGCCGGAGCCCTTGTATTATTGAAATTCAAGCTTTTGTACTGACTTGGGTGTCGTGTTCGCAAATGATGATATAGGTTGGTTGTGTTGCCACCTTTAGCCATTACTGGATTTGTGCAAACTTTGCAGAATATTGTGGCCTGGTCTACGTCGTTTGGCTTAAACCCAAAGAAAGTCCAAACGGGACTGGAGGAATTTTTTTTAGGCAGCAAATCGTCGCTTGTTGTCACTTTTTTACTGTTGCTAGACGCCATGATGGATATTTACCCTTGACCCGCCGGTACGTAATATGCTATATTTTATACTTGTAGACGAATTTAATTCTATCAATAGAATGACATACTAGTTAGTCGAAGCAGAATATTAAGTTTTAATATAACGATAATATGTAACCAGAACTAGCAGGGTTCTAAAATCTACTTGTCTGAAAATCAGAACAGTGACAGTTGCGACTGGGGTAAATACTCTCCAACCTTGACCTTGCCAAACACATTTTCCTCGCTTACGAGTCCAAGCGACGATGTATTATCATCAATATTGGGACATGATAATTATCATAATCGCGATAATTTTTTTAAGTCACGATAAACCGGTTTTTCGATATTTTTAAGTAAGTCCGATATGATAAAATCGCCGATGATTTTATCACGGTATACCGAAATACCGGTATATCGCCCAACCCTACTCTATAGTGTCCACAAGCTAAAAACGTGATTTGTCGTACAAACAGGGGCCATAATCCATGAAGTTTCGATCCAATACATGCCAATATCGAAAGGAACCGAGATCTTTTGGAGATAAACCTATAATTCATGTTTCGTCAACCTATAATTCAAGTTTCGTCAAAATCGGATAAGAATTGTGACCTGTAGAGTGTCCACAAACAAATTGTGGACGGACAGGGGCGACGACAATATACGTCCACATGAAAGTGTGGGCGTATAAAAAGATAGATTCAGTACATGGTAACTTAAAAGACTGGATAATCCAAACAATGACCCACTTTTCCTCAAATTTTGACGACCCATCCGGACAAATATTTTACGAATGTATTAGATAGAGACTATAATTTTGCCTTATTTAAAAATATTTGTCAATACGAGTCGTCTATCAACTTTTTAGAGCAATCTTATAAAGTTAAAATTCACCGGAAGTGCCACCATTTTGAAAATGTAATTCAATCTTTAAAATTCTACCCGTGCTACAATTTTTATCCAATTTTCAATATCGTCACATTTTGGGAAAGCATTTACAATTCGCAATCGATCGATGCGTTTATAGAATTCTGATATTTGACCTAGATACTTTTAAAGTCACGTCATAATTTTTTTTTTTTAAATAGTATAAGACTTTGAAATCGGGTAAAATGTCAACGGCAAACGATAAATTGAGTCATTTGGTGCATATTTTGAAAGTTTTAACAAAAACACAAATGTGAACAACGTTCTGTGCAACTTTTAAAAATATTAATGTGATATATTATGGCACATCACCTTTAATATTGGTTATGTTTACTTTAAATGTTCACCAAAATATGTGTTTAGGGCTTCTACAGTTAAAATAAGTCATTTGAGTATGTAATGGTTTGCCATCGAATTTATATGACTGGATCAGTTAGTCTACGTAACTTAGTAAGCATGCCACGAGCTCGATCCCGGTGTTAGCCATTTCATTTTTTTTTTCTCAATTTCATGTAGTCCTTTTAAATGGCATATCTTTTGTCCTGCTGTTTTAAAGTATACGCAAAACGATTGTCTCATACTTTGAAGATGTATAGGTGTCGTTTAGAACACTGGAGCCTTTTCTAGCTTTGGGCGGCCAAAATGGGTTTCGTCGCGTATGGAAATCTAATCTTACTTTTATTTTTCAAAAGACCCGCGATGGCTCAGTGAGTAATGCACCGCCTCGCTAACCAGGAAGTTCGCTTACACCTGTCCCTATTTAGAGAGAGGGAGAGGGATGGGGTGACGTCAACTCGAGAAATAAATCTATAACTGTATGATTGGGTTGCATAAAAACTATCAAACCTGTTTCGAGAACAGGTCTAGTTTTAATTAACCTTAATTTTAATTGAACCTTGCGGAGATGTCTAGAAACCTATGGACATTTTGAAATATCATAATAGAAATAACTGTATGATTGGGTTGCATAAAAACTATCAAACCTGTTTCGAGAACAGGTCTAGTTTTAATTAACCTTAATTTTAATTGAACCTTGCGGAGATGTCTAGAAACCTATGGACATTTTGAAATATCATAATAGAAATAGTACTATCTGTATAGAAATTAAGTTTTTGGATAAAACAAAAATTGAATTTTACCTGCATCTGAATGTAGAGGACAGATTAAAAGTTTGATAAGCATCTTCAAATCATGACCGCAAGCGCAAGGGCTGTCTAAGGTGTGCGTTAAAAACTTAAAGTCCCACTGACTGTGGATAGTAACAAATATGGCGTCCTATTTTTATTTGCATGAGTTTTCGATCCCCCCCCCCCGCCAAGTACATAGTTGTCGAATATTTAAAATGCGGATATAATGAGGCCACAAAGGGTTGCATTTTGGGTGCAGCGTAACAATTAGACGGTAGCCAACCAGAATGTTTTATAGACCAAGACTAAAAGATAGTCCGCAGGCCCGCTATGTCTCGGCAGTAGGTTATCCAAAAAGAAAACTGGGATGCTAAACGAAGATCGCGGAACACTGAATATTTATACTGATATATGGAAAGCAATGTTAACATTCTCCCATCGTGTCGAAATGATGTGTTTCTACGAATACTTAGGGGTGTCTGAAAACCCGTAAATATGTTTTTAAAGAGGATGAATAAATGAGTCATAGACTGGTCCATGGAAATTATATGGTACTATTAACCACAATATACTAATATGGACACAGTGTGCCCATTTTTTTTAATAAGAATTAGGTCGATGGGGAGGGACTCTTTTGTACTAATGCTCGATGTGTTGAATACCTAAAGTATGACCACCTTTGGGAGTACCATTGAACGCGTAATTCTAGGGCACCTAATTAACCCAAAATCTCATGTCCATGCCAAGCAGACACCCGAAATGCACGAAGACAACAGTTCCAAGTAATTGCAATATTATATATACATCGCAATGTAGTATTACCAAGGTTAACATCATGGTATCTATAAACTTATATCTAAATGTTGAGGTAACGTAATGGTGGATTTGAACCAGATCGAGATTTGTTTAACTGGTTATGGCAGACGCTTTTGGTAGAGTAACAACATCATGTTAATACACCAGCACTACAAGTTAGTTGGCTTTGGGGTAAATAAAAAGAACGGACGACATTTTCTGCGCCAAACAACTTTATTTTGTCATTTCAAACAATACATTTTACGACCTGACGTAGGCGGTTGCTAATTGAATACCCGACTTGTGGGCGATGTCATATGACTGGATTGAAACAGCACGTCCATCTAGAGTGAAGGAACATATAGAGTTCGGTTTTATAATAGCGCAAACGCTATATACAGCTACATCAAACTCTGGTGACACACCAACCATAAACGATCCTAAGCCTTTCCATTTTCCATTCCATTTAAATTGGCTACCAACTGTCCTCGGCTGTAATATATTAAATCAGTCTGATCAAATCACAACAATGAAGTGTTTAAATCGGTATAATCAAATCACAAGAATGAGGTGTTGAAATCGGTATAAGCAAATCACAACAATAGGGGTTTTAAATGAATATAATCAATTCACAACAATGAGGTGTTTAAATCGTTATAATCAAATCGCAAGAATGAGTTCTGCGTTTAGTAACCTTTAAATCAGTTAATTCCAATCATACCCATAGTTATATTCTTTTGTTGTTTATCCCATCTGTATCTAAAGACGTATAATTGCTCAACCTGGGAATCAAACTTTACTTTTAGCGTCAACGACGATATATGAATTGTGGCACAAAATCGCTCATATATGCATTGACTTGTAATGGTTGTCGCCCAAGATATAGAGTACGCAACAAGCGACGGATTGCACCTACATATAAAATTTCAAATTTTCCCATTTTATAAAATAAAAGTCGATGACATAACATAACAAAAAGGAAAATAATGGAAAACCATTTTATTATAAAATACGTTAATCATCAATAAAAAAAAAAAATGGTCCATTAAATATCTTAACTTATCCCGAGATTATTTTCCACTTATCGTTCCTAAGGTATACCCAAATACAACAGATTAACACACAAGTATACATGTTCTCTGTTAGTTACGTATGTACCATGTAACTACAGGTAACTATAGACCATTAAATTTAAATCACAGTGCTACTATGTAAATGTGTATATATACAATGACATTATTTCTGACGAGCTCCCCAGATGAGTGAAAAGTACTTTTAAAATGTTATTAAACCAGTGTTGAAATCAGATTGCGTTTTCATACGTTTTATTTTTTCGTAGTTTACCGTCAAACCAAGTAGTGCAGTTTTACATTCACATTTCAAATGCCGTACAATATGGATGTTTGACTACTTCAGTCCGAATTGCAGGTCCACCGGTCAAATGGTGTTAACATAGTACGAGTTTGAAAACAGAATGTGAATCTAGAACTGCGAGGCTATACTGATTGTGTTTCGCCTAAATGCATCACATCGCATCATCATTTCACGTTTCAAGATTTCAATAGCCTTTATCCAGTATACACAATTTACAAATGAACAGAGACGACAAAGAGCTATGTGTGTAAGTTAGTTGTATTCTACGTCCGCTTCCACCGAGTTGATATCGCAGACAAAGAGCAATGTCTACATACATTGGATATAAGATAATCTCAAAAACCATGAATACTACATCATTGAATACTGGGGATAAATGATTGGCCAAATAAATTAACATGATAAATAAACGAAGACACACATCGCCTATTGCACAGATATTGAGTCAACAAGGACTCAGTGACAGCACCATATTCACAGCTATCGGCCTACTAAATTAAGTATGTTTATTTACGAATAGAACTGTGATATCCATTCGGGACAACTTGCCCGACTCCGGTACCCTACATCTAAGCTCGGCAGTATGATGAATTCCACCACTGAAATTACTTTCAAGTTCCTGGATTAAAAATGGCGGCGACCATGAAGACGCCTGCGAAGGGTGTTCTATCTCAAGAAACTGTATACATCATACAAAGCTTTCAATGTCTGGGGCTGTTTTTCGTTCAAGTTTATCCGATTTTAAACAAAAGACAACTTTGCAATGAATACTCTACGCACTCTTCGAGCGACGCCATTTTGAGAACTTCCTAAAAGTGGCACGTTTTGCTAATAAGTAAACCGGTAGCTGCATTATAATTGTATGGGTGTGGTACATATCACTTACCGTTATACAGTCGAGCTTAGATGTAGGCTGCCGAGATATCAAAATAAAACATGCAATATCGAGTTTTTATAATATCAAGTATCTAGAGTCATTTTCAAATCCTCATAGAACCGGGATTAATACTTCCAAGATCAAACTTTATAGTATGATAATGTTAATGAAAAGGTGTCTGAAAATGAACGCTAATATCTGGGCCCACACGGCAATAAGTCATGTTTGGTATATTTTCATAAATTAGAGATATATTCAGGTTTGGGAAAAATCAGAAAGCCTCGGAAATATCAAGACATCTTAAAAAGTTGCTAATGCCAGTTTGGCGGCATCTATGTGTTCCTTATTCCTATAAAGTTCCCACTTGATGCCTCAAATAACGGAAGAAAAATGCTGAAGAAAATTTTATTCCAAAACTAAACTTCCAAATTTCGAAAAACTGCCAGTTTGAGCCCTTGTTCGTCAAAATTAAACTATGTTTCAATTTTCAAATAAGAGTAACCTTCAATAGTTATAACTATAAAAACAAACCATTTTACCGCCTGTTGGGACATACATTCCGACGCCCATCGGTTCATTAGTTGGGTTATGCGATCTGTCCGTATCTCCGTGTCCACCTAAAACTCTGTGTGGAGGGGTGATACTATCGGTGAACCTCTATTGACAGCTGATGGTTTTCAGGTAGCTTCATCGCGGACTGTAACGTTCACTGCTTGTAAAGACCCTTACCCCGCCCAAGTAGCGTCATTTTATAGCCTAACCGGAGACAGTAGCGCTATCTACAAATGTCACGATTCGTGACGGTATCCTTGTCATTACACGTGACCCCACGTCACGTCAACAATGAAGGTACACCACGGGCTGTTGAGTAAAGTAACACCAGTTACGTATTAAAGTCGAAAAAAAACCCTGTCATTTCTAATTGTTAAGAAAACTGGAAGTTATACTTCCATATCAAACGTTTTCATATTAGTTGTTAGTAAATGTTTACGTTATCGTATATGTATAGGTCAAGTGCCATTGAAGTACACGGCCACATGATAGCAGGCTTTAACTTTAAATATCGAAAAATTTGAGTAGGAAGTTTACAAAATCTGCTTCCAAGATTTGAAGCTTTTTTATCAAATCCAATACGGCGGCCAAACGGTTGAAAATGCCAAAGTACAAGGTGAATGAAAATGAAAGATAATATCTGTGGCTAACACGGACATATTTCATATTTAGTCTATTTTCAAAATGGAGAGAAATATTCATGTTCGGGAGAAATCGGAAGTCGTCACAAAAACTTCCGGTATGCCATTTTGACAGCATCGACGTATTCCTGGGTCTTTACAGGATTCAACTTCCTATCTCAAACAGTGACGGAGATATGCCATTTTAAAAGGTCGAAAAATTGCCGAAGAAAATTTACGAAGATCTTAGATTCGAAAACTAAGCCGGTTAACTTCCGAATTTCGAAAAACAATCAGTAAGAACTCCACAATCAGTAAGAACTTTTATGGGATTTGTCAAAAAATCCAATAATGAAAATGCGATGCAGTTCCGTTAGAAAATAACGGAGATATGGGCATTTGTTTGTCCTATCCATAAAATTAGTCAAGTTATTCCAAATCTGCCAAATTATATTTAATAAATAGTTCCGATCCCCACTAGAAAATATTCAATGCCAAGATGTTTCCAACATGCGCAGTTTTGACTGCACTCACACATAAACCTTTAGTAAACGCTCGAAACACGTATTTTGCCGGATTGTCCGAACTGTATCCGTCAGTTCATTTTATTTTTCGTAAATGGTTTCGTGCGTCCTTCAAAAACATTTTCCGGGAAACTGTTCCAGATGGCGTAATCCATCGGATTCAAATCCCGGAACTTAGTGCAAGACGGGTGACATATCCACCATTTGTTTATGTAACTGGGGTGAGTGTGGTGTGATCTCTCAGTCCAGCAAATCATAATTTGATTTTTTTTTTTTTTTAAACTCGTACTATGTTGACACTATTTGAGCGAAGGGGTGAAGTTGTCAAACATCCATATTGTACCACATCTGAAACGTTTTTTCCGGGTCACCCGATATATGAAGAGAATTATTACCAGTGCTTGTGAAACCCATCCAGTATAGTCCAATCTACCAGCCTTTTCTTCCAAATAAAACTGAATCCAATTATGAAAGCCACCAATAGATGTCGATTTCTCTTCTCCGACGAGAACGTGCTCGAATCCAGAACTGTCTAATACTGGGTTACTGTTAGAACGAGGGTAAAGATTGAACCACATTTCCTTTAAGATATCTCTCCATTCAACTTGGTTTTGGGGAATATAACCTTGAAAACCATAAAAAAAACTCTCAAAAGGATGATTTATTCATGTATTAAAGTAGCTAAGTCTCCAACTCAACATCATCCAAAATTTTAAACTTTGAAAACACGAATTATATGTCAATATAAATCAACATTGATGCTGTGATCTAACCGAAAAAAGATGGGCTTCTTATATCCACGAATCGTGTACCATAATGCGTTTCAGCCCACTTCTGGCAAGAGACTCGGGGAACGAGGCTAGACACATTGCGCCAAATCAAACGGCTTATGTAGACTGGAATAACCAGACGCTAGAAATTTGAATTCAATTTGAGACTGCTGGCTTATTTCGTGGAACATAACTGATTTGAAATTAGAGTAAAAACGGAAACCATTGACTGTAAATCAGTTTATATACATTCATATTACAGTATTATATGCGTTGCGACCCACTTCTGTCCATTTCTAGGTCCCAAATGTTAGCGATTTAGCTCCTTTAACAGGATAGTGATGATCTTATAAGAAATATAAATCCCGATTAATATTTTAAATGCATATTAAACTATGAATCCATCTAGGGAATCATTTGTATTGGGCCATCTTTGCTGACACAAATAATACGAGTAACTATACCAGAGAATGTAGAAAAACACTCCTACAGACATTACAAATCAAAAGACATAAACAGTGAAAATAACCACGCCTAAATTAAATGAGCGACTGCATTACATTTTACAACTGACCGTGCAACCGCCTTGCTTGGCACCATGCCTCAAAACTCTTGACTAGATCTTTCAAGTGACGACAAACAATCGTTAAATGGGGACGTTTAATAAGATGGCCAAAGTACCACACTAAATGCCAATACATGGAAAACTGGATCTACAGTTATTAGCAGGCATAGCCTACAACAAGAAACAGCTTAGTGAAAATTTGTACATGTATAAGATATTATGGAAACAACGACAATACGCTACCCATGCAAAACACCTGTTTCAACATACATAGCAATGAAGCTATCGAACCCTACCGTACGTATGAAGAAATGTGAAGGCTTTTTGCATTACAGATGTTGCCAAAATTTCGTCCAGGAAATTATCAATCTCATCCCACTCAGTAGCTGAAATATCATCCGTTTGTCCAACATTTATATTATAATTATCCAATAGGAGAATAAATGTACGGTACGTTGCTCTACTAAATCGCGCTTCGTTTACACTAGTAAACAATCTACAATAAAACAGAGGTGAGGACATTCAATCGTATATTAGTATTCAAATAAAATGGGGACTTTAAAAAGCCTTAATTAGGTTATTTTCAGATTTACACACATGAATAACTTTACCGCTATTCTGGTACATCGTAATACTCCAGTTTACTGGATCAATTAACCAGCGGTTGCCAGGCAAGATACGCCCAAATTTCGTACAATGAGGGGCCATAATCCAGTAAGTTATGGTCTGAAATGTGCGAATATCGAAATGGACTGGGATAGTTTGGGATATAAAGATATATTTTAAATTTCATCAAAATCGGATAAAAATTGTGACAACCTTCGTATTACATACTTTTACACGATTTGCGTACAAGGAGCGGCCATTTTGTCCTGCAGTTCTGGTCCGATTTTCACGAAATTCGAATTCAATAGGGTGTAACAGTGATGCATTTAAAAGGTTTTTTTAATCGGATAAAAATTGTGACCTCTAGAAGGATCACAAGCTAAAAACGCGATTTTTCGTACAACCCAGGTCCATAATTCAAGAAGTTACGAACCGATATTGGCGAAGAATATCGAAAAGCATCAAGATCTTTGGGGTATAAACATGTATGTCAGGTTTCATCAAAATCAAATCAATTTTGATCTCAAGATGGTTCACAGCCTTAGTATTACATACTTTTACACTATTTGCGTACAAGGGGCGAACATTTTGTCCGGCAGATTAGGTCAGATCTTTTACGATATTAGAACCGAACCTTTATTGATGTGTAACTTGTGACAAGCTAAAAAGAATACAATTTTTCGAACAATCAGGGGCCAAAATCCAGGAAGTTAATTTCGGATATGCACGATTATCGACGGGAACCAAGATCTTCGTGATACAAACATAAATTTAAAGTTTCATCAAAATCGGATCAAAATCGTGGCCTCTAGAGGATCCACAACCTTGATGATATACCATATATTTACACTGTTTGCGTACGAGGGGTGGTCATTTTGTCCGGCAGTTCAGGAAGTTATGATCCGATATGCGCAAATATGGAAAGGAATCACGATCGTTGGGTAATAAACATGCATTTCACGTTTCATCAAAATCGGGCGAAAATAGTGACCTCTAGAGTGCCACAAGCTAAAAACGTGAGTTTTCGTATAGTCAGGGGCCATAATCCATGAAGTTTCGATCCGAACGACTAGGCAATTGTCCATGTCAATCCCTACGTCATTCAAAACTGACAAGGGGAAATCACGCCAAAAAATCCCGATGAATGTTCTCGGCCAATACCGGGATCGAACCCGTGACCTCCAGGCTAGCGTCTTACTTAGCCACCGTGACTGCCTGGTTAATACAAAGTGGATCCCTAAGAATTTTGACATAGAACAGAAACTTTTTCACGACATACGGCAACGAAATTGTGGGATTTTCGACTGACACTCACTCGATTGCCACAGGCTACATTTCTTAGTGGATTCTTTTAAATTTTACTTTGTAGGAGCCCTATCGATTGTGACGTGGATCGGATACTTTTTCGTTCCAGTAAATCAGTACGTACATTTCATATATTTAACGGAGCCTTCATTTTTAGCAATTCGGAAAACAACGTCAAATTTTTCATTTGTTAAATTGATATTTCACTACACTAAAAAAATATATTCGCTGGCTTATTTTGAATCGAAGGTGTTTTTTTTATTTGTTTGTTTATTGTCATCAACAGTTATAGAAACAGTAAGCACACAGGTATCACACCACCTTTCAATTCATTGTTTACTTTCCCACATACGCCCCGGCAACGTCAGCTATTTTAAAACATACTGGGGAGGGGGGGGCTGTGTACCTGGATATAAATGATTATCTTATAAATAAAATATAGTATCTTGCACGCAATTAAACATACTTATGCATAAAGATACAATACATTTTGGTAGACATGTCAGTAGGTGTAATAACCTCTATTTTTCTATACCTACTAGCGGGGTTGGACTTTATACGTTATAGATGACGTGAATACCATGGATTTAAAAACATATTTACTTTTCGTGTGTGTTTCTGATGGATTTTATTGATATCACACATGTTCATGTGACCCATTAATGAAAATAGATCACATTATCAGGTGAGATAGTAAAAGTATATTTAGTTCATTCCTTACCGACTATTTGCTCTGTCTACTCTGTCATTATCGTTAGTGCTTGATTGGTAATTGAGCTCGTATTCACTCTCAGCAAACCGGTCAACATCACTAGCCCACAAATCTTCCATTAGGGCCGTGACATCCCCGCCGGAACCAGGACCACCATTATCTACAAGAAAATATCTTATGTGTTCCCTTATCAAACTGTTCAGATGTATATAGTTGTCATAATTGTTTTTTGACACTTATATATCTTATTATCTTCGAATCATCTTTTATTAAATGTAGTAACCGCCCAAAGCAAAATATAAAATAACTACCAAATTTTTTTTTTATCGAAACTTGGATGTATGTAAAATGGTAATATAAAACCATGCGTTTGTTAGATCGGGTGTGAATTTGACAACACCTTAATTTAATTAAATGTAATCAAACACTGAGACTATTTAAAGTTCTTACCATCACATAATGAGTCATAATCACCACAGCAGTCATTAAATTGTTTACACTGTGAATTGCATTGACATGATTGACTGTTATCTAAATTACTACCACATCTTCCTTGGCATGATCCAGGAGATAGACCAACTGTAATATCAAATTCCATTTATAAAATTAAAGATACAGTAATTTATCCGCGTGTATTACTCTTACTCAATTAACATGCAAGATACGTAAACACTTTTCAAGAGATAGTCAGATTACACGAAAAATCAACAGGTTCCATCCTCTCATTGTGCTTTATATCGAATTACAAATGACTGAAACCGTAGCCTCCCTCGCGTTCATAAGGTTTGCGGAAAAGGAGGTAACTCCGGATTGGAAGGTCGGGAATTTCTGAATATCGATAGGGTTTGTCCTCTCATGGCCCCAGTGCTTCGCACCAAATCTGTTAAATACTGAGCCGCTTTCGGAACGGAAGGTCGCGGAATACACATGTTCATCGCGGAAAAGATCGGGTTGAAGTGCAAAAGTTCCAGCAACCTTGTCATTGAACGAACCTTACATTGCTTCAACTTTGTTGTCACATGTAGACATTTCAGTTGGAAAGTGCGAGGCTTGGTATTCGCGATATTTTCTATCGAGGAATTTTATAAGTAGAGAACTTGATCCCAGATCAACCGAATTACGTGAAGGCCTTGATAAGATGTTCGGAGTTGTAGCGAGATCAAGCCTTCTATGGAACATGCGTCCACATAAACCTGAACAGCAAATCACACAACATTGCACTGTGTAAAACCGAGATTCTTTCTAGTGTTTATGTCAGCCCCTGTACTGTATCTCATACTTCTTTGTTTTACAAAGTTACTATTATATTTTTTGTTTACCATTCTTCACAAATCTTGGCATAAGCGATTGTGTTGACACTTTCTTCGTTTTAGTTGTTGACAATTGGTCTATATATTAAAATAAATTACTTACGACATAATGTATTATAGTCGCTACAACAATTATTATAATTTGGACAGAGGTCATTACACTGGCATGGCTGATTTGGGTCATAAGCTGATCCACATCGACCAGTACAGGATGTTGAAGCTATAAATGTATAAGTTAAACATAAAAATGATAATATAAACTAAAAAATATTATTACATAAACTATATCGAGGAACATTTCTAATGAAAATAACCAACTACCAACAAAAGATAAAGACGATATAAATTCCAACCTGAATAAAGCTTATATTAACCTCTGACTAGATTTGTGTTTATTTTTAAGGATACGGCTTAATATAACATTTTGTAATTGGACAACACATCTGCAACGAAAACAGATTTACATGGAGCACCGATAACATTGTATTTTTTTAAAGTACTTATCGGCAAGTATTTTTCACTATTGCAGTTGCACTACTAAATAAGTTTATTAGCTTTGCTATATAAATAGGTACCGAGAAAAGGTTCAATTTCTACCAGAATAATGAAATTAATAGATAACGTTGGATAATAATACATAATAATTACCTACCTTGTGAATAAGCAACAAGTGATACAAGCAAAACAAATCCTGCATACATGATGTCAGTTTCCGGTCTGATGACTACACTTCGGTAAGGAATCAAAACAGACTTACTGTTTTACCAGGTATAATACGGATCTTTATATACCCTTTAATTGATTTATGGATTCTTTACCTTTGAAATATTAACTCAAAGTTAAAGTTATCGTAAAATAAAATTTATGACTTGCTCATTTGTAAAGCACTTCATATCACACTAGATATTACACACAAGGGCTCGTGGTCTGTTCCCAATTCTGGGTGCCCCAGCCCATCACAATAGTGTCGTTCCGTAAACCATTGAAAATTTAAACCCTACTAGCGGATTGTGTCGCTTTCCATCTCATTTTATTCTTGCCGTTCCTTCCCATTAGGGGAGGGGGTCTGTCTAATTTCGTTTTGTTTATTTGATTGTTATTTTTAGAATATATTGGTAGAGGTTACATGCTAAAATTGAAAACTGATGTTTCCTGAACTGATATATTGGAATATTGTATTTTTATTAAGTGGAGATAAATAAACCACCTTTGATACAAATTATCGACGCCCTCTTTCATGATTGTGGCTAAATCCCATAGCAACATACATGTATTCCAAGGAATAAAGATTTGTATAAATAGGAATTCAGTGTGATGTACGGACTAAAAAAAGGATAGTAATAGCCTCTTATATCTGGTAATGAAATGGGGTTTAACGTCCTACTGTTCTGCGCCGACTGAGGTAATGAAGACAGGCATACGCCGTACAGTGCGCTATGAAGAAAACTTTGCGCTGACTGCTACGCTACGGCCTACTCTTATATCGAAGTGGAATCGCACGTCAATGTGTACCTTTACTTTTCGTCCCGTACGAACGACTATACGTTGTACCTTGCCAGACTCTCTGTCTTGCACCACTGACAAGGGAGAACCACGCCAGAAAATCCAATGAATTTTCTCGGTCTCGAATACGGTACCTGTAGGTTAGCGAGCCACCGTGGGCCCCCTATAGCCCGTAAACTTTTTAAAACAACTTAAATCTCATAATACGTTAGTGTGACAAATATTTATTATTTTGAACAGAAGTGATTTTATATCTATATTGTTTACAATATATAAGATAACTTATATCTTATATATAAGAGACTAGTAATCCGGGTCCATTCACCTGATTTGATAAATACGTTTGTGGTTTATTGTTTGCAAGTTCTGTGTAGTTTTTGTGCCTTGTATTTTGGGTTTTGTTTACGTGTGGTGCTGGCTCCAAACTTACATTGTAGCGATAGTCATCGAATGGGACATACATATGTTGTAATTATCAATCTATTATGGGGCTTTAAATTGCCGATTGTGAAAGACAGAAACATCCGAAATATTCTTCAAACAATTCTGTTTTTAGCTGAGTGATACAATTTATGTACCAATAGAAGATGTCTTCTTTTTGTTATCTTGTTATTCAAATACAGGCGTAATAGGTAATAAATTATGGGTTATACAAAGTGGTTTGATTTCATCGATCAATACAGTTTTACTGAATGATTTATAGCATTAAGATACCTTTACTTTATAGCTGAAGTGTTTATGATATATACAAATGTTTTAAGGTTATCCGACACTACTATCCTGTCACAAACAATACTACCTCCCCCGTCCATCACGTCTGAAACACAAAAAAAAACAACATTCACTTCTAGACATTTTTATCACACTGGCCACTAGGAAATTGTGTCAGAAATGAAATGAAATGGGGTTTTAACGTCCTACTCTTCTGCACCTAACCTGGGCTAATTGAAGACGGGCATACGCCATACAGTGTGCTATGAGGGAAATTTTGCCCGGGCAGCGGCGCTACGGCCTACTCTTATATATATCGAATTCCAACTGTCAGGGGATCTTTTACGTGCACGCCAATGTGTACACGGGACCTCGGTTTTTCGTACCATCCGAACGACTAGGCAGGTGTCCTTGTCAGGCCCTCCGTTCTGCATCACTGACAAGGGGAAACCACGCCGGAAAAAATTGTGTCAGAACAATGATATTGGTATAGCTTTAGCAAGTTTTCGTTTGGGATGTAAGCTGGGCTAAAATTTTTATTGCTTATTCAAAGTCATACGATGGTAAAATTATCACAATACTTTAACTAAACACTTGGTGTACCCCGGGGCGACATTCTCTTACGGTCTCTTTACTATTTCCCTGAACGATTTGCATGAATTCTTTACAGCAAATGAAATAAAATGCTTAGAAAATGTGGATGATTATAGAGGTATTCTTAAAATTATTTCTTTTACTGTACGCAGACGACACTAAACATTCCAGAAGAATACTGTAGAATTTGGAAACGTGAAATTAATCAATGTAAAACCAAAGCAGTAGTTTTCTCTAAAAGGAAAAGCAGAATAGATCATTGATTTACTATATTTAATCAAAAGATAGAAATTGATGAATCGTACGCGTATCTCGGATTAATTTTGAATTATAAATGGCCCCGAATTCACAAAACATTCTCAGACTTAAGTTCAGAATTTACTCAACTTTCAATCACTTTGATCCAGAAACACAAAGAATTGCACATAGTTTTTTATGGATTTATTTGATACATTAAAACAACAAAAGTTTTTATAAATTTAGTTAAAATAAGGCGAACAATTTTGAGTAAATTCTTAAGTCCGAGAATCTTTTGTGAACTCGGGGCCTGATCTTTTAATAAGGCAAGAATTTTACTTGATCAGTCTTCTAAAGCCTTATATTGTTACTACCGACATTCAACTTAAGTTATTTGATAACCTAAGTTTACCAATTCTAATATATTCGTCAGAAGAATGGGGTTTCAAAAATACAACAGATATCAAGCGCGTCCATATTTAATTCTGCAAATTACATGGTATGTGGGGGAAATAGGCCGCTACCTGGTTGCAATGGTTAAATATTTGCAAAAATGTAACGTCCAATACATTATACATAATATTATGGACAGGTTGATTTAATATAGTTAATTACGTATGAAGGAGTAATAAATAAAATGTGTAGAAACATAAAAAAAACGTTCTTGTATATCAAAATGCCACAGAAGATCCAACTGATTGATGTTTGGTAATATCAAAACAGAAGAAAGACCCAGTGGGTAACAAGCCAACAGTGAGGCTGATGTCCCCCGCCGAAATAGGAAAATAATTAGAGGACACATATAAATTTATCACAAATTATCTTTTACAAAGTATTGAACAATCAAACAGTTCAACCAATCAAATTGCTTATCTCTGCTTACCCTAAGCGGAAAATGCTCATCTTCGAACTCCATCAAGGCATTGACCTAATCAACACATACACCAAGTTTGAACATTCTAGCTCAATTAGGAAGAGAGTTATCGTGCCCCAAAGTATCAACCAATCAAATTGCTTATCTCTGCTTACCCTAAGCGGAAAATGCTCATCTTCGAACTCCATCAAGGCATTGACCTAATAAACACATACACCAAGTTTGAACATTCTAGCTCAATTAAAAGTTATCGTGTCCCAAAGCATCAACCAATCAAATTGCTTATCTCTGCTTACCCTAAGCGGAAAATGCTCATCTTCGAACTCCATCAAGGCATTGACCTAATCAACACATACACCAAGTTTGAACATTCTAGCCCAATTAGGAAGAGAGTTATCGTGCCCCAAAGCATCAACCAATCAAATTGCTTATCTCTGCTTACCCTAAGCGGAAAATGCTCATCTTCGAACTCCATCAAGGCATTGACCTAATAAACACACACACCAAGTTTGAACATTCTAGCTCAATTAAAAGTTATCGTGTCCCAAAGCATCAACCAATCAAATTGCTTATCTCTGCTTACCCTAAGCGGAAAATGCTCATCTTCGAACTCCATCAAGGCATTGACCTAATCAACACATACACCAAGTTTGAACATTCTAGCCCAATTAGGAAGAGAGTTATCGTGCCCCAAAGCATCAACCAATCAAATTGCTTATCTCTGCTTACCCTAAGCGGAAAATGCTCATCTTCGAACTCCATCAAGGCATTGACCTAATAAACACATACACCAAGTTTGAACATTCTAGCTCAATTAGGAAGAGAGTTATTGTGTCCCAAAAAGTGTGACGGACAGACAGACGGACAGACAGACGGACGAACGAACCCATTTTAATAGTCCCCTGCTTTCTTCGAAAGGCGGGGGACAAAAAAAGAATTCACTTGCTTTATGTAGATTATTTACAAATTAAAAAAATGTTCGTGCGATTTTTTTCCAATTAAACTCTGTCCGTGGTTAAGACTCCCGCTCACCGATCTCTTTTATATCCCTGATTTCTGGGATTGGCGATGTATTAATTATTTGATTGGTTAAATTATGCCAGAAATATGCATGGTATGTATGCCTAATCTGGCAACTGGCCAGTCAAAGTACAAGATTACTTATAATGATATTGATATGAACATTTTCTTGAAACTTAGCTGGGATTATTTCCAAATTTGGTCAGCTAGAAACATTACATTACACTGTCTAGTTTGATAAATGCAATATGCATAGTTACATTATTACATAGATTACATATGATTATATAGAAGAACAAAACGTCCACCATCGAACTTAAACCAAAACAAAAACATCTTTTAATAACTCTAATGTCCTATACGCATCTATACTTCAACCGAATATAGAAAACCATAACTGATGTAATCTTCATTCGTCTTTGTATACACGAACAGGCACTACTTCGTGGGATACTAGTTTTGGTATTCTAGTTTTGTGGTATCAGGCTAAATCAATTTCGGGTTCGACGATGAAACCCTTAGTCTGTTGAACAGCTTTCGAGGACAGAAATCAGTTCTTCTATAATTTAGTTGATATAAAACGGACGTTAACTTTGTTGATTAATGAGCCAAGGTCAAACTATTAATGCTACTGTGTATATTACTAATGTTATACTTTAAAGAGACAAACTGGAGCTCATTCATAATAAAATAAAGGCTTAATTTTAAATACGGATATAATGTCAGACTAATATCAATATAAAGACATGGTTTGATTTGAAG